TCATGAAGGATGTCTCTGGTCTGTAAACATTTTAACTTGATATGGTAGACTTGTCATGTGTAATCAGAGACGATTTCTTGACTTGATACTTTGCATAAACTTTTAATTTTATGAAAGATTCTTTTATAAATGGGCAGGGACTGGTGGCAATGTTGGTAAAACCATATATTCGATTGGCCCTCGGCTCAAAGCATTTTCTGATTGGCTTCTGAAGACTATGGTGGCAGGAAATTTAGAAGTCATTTTCCCAGCTGCTACTCGAGAGTATGCTCCATTGGTTGAGGAGCTGTGGAAGGATGCGGCAATTCAGGAAACTTACAATCGGAGAAGTGAAGTAGAAATGCTACCTAGTGTTGCAAATTACTTTTTGGAGCGGGTAAGATCATGCCTGAGGTTTCTATGGCACTCGCCTTTTATTAATTCTAAAAAACTAACTTACGCTTTCTTATCAAACATAATTTACTTTATGTTCCTTGATTGTAACTTGCTTATAATTATTTTTGGGTGCTGAAGTTTTTAATCCTTTGCATAGATTCGTCACCGATAGGTTGGATGATGAGTGTTCAAGGGCACACGACTAAATTTTTTAGATACTGCTGGAATATATTCAACCTTTTTTTTAATTATTATTTTACTGATTGATTATTTGGCATGCTGCCTAATGGTTGATTAATGAAGGCAATGAATGATGACCTAAGGAGCAGAATATCAATATTTCCTTTTAGGGAATGCTTGAAATCTTTTACAGTGAATTTTGGATTTTGAAATGTTATTTTCTTTTATGCTAAACATTTGCTTGTTGCTTACAGAGGAAGCAAGTTTACTTGTTATTCCTAAGTTGCTTTGAGTGTTCTGATCTCATCCCTGTTAGTTGCTATTTGGTTTTATATGAATAACTCTTGAGGTTCATGTTTAATCTTTGTATTGTTGCTGTACTCAGGCTGTTGATGTATTAGGAACAGACTATGAACCCTCAAATTTGGATATTCTATATGCTGAAGGTGTTACTTCATCAAATGGACTTGCCTGTATGGATTTCTCGTTTCCCCCATCTGCGGCTGATGATAACAATGACTCTGCTGATCAGCTTGACTCTCTGCTTAGGTAGGTGTAAATTTATCAGTGCACAATGGTTATATGGTGTTATTCTCACATGATAGTGATATGTGATAGTTCAAATGGTATGGATTTAATATTGTACTACTGATTGTAAATTCCTACCTGACTTGATAGGAAACCAGGTAATCAGAACTTTATTGCTATTTGCCAAATTCATGGAAAACATAGATTTCATTCTGTTTAATAGATCAAATGGCAAAGTGGGTCAGTCTCAAAGAATTGGTAAAGTGGATGCAAATCATAGTGGCTTGTTTTAGAATAAGTCATCTTAAAAGTCCAGCCTAAGCCCTAGAGATAACTTGTATTCTCTGAAGTACTATTTTACTGTCAACTCATATCTTAGTTTTCCATTGGCAATTTCTATTTGCACATTAACTAACATGTTCTCAACTTCTGAAGTTAATTGTTTATGTTCAGGATGCACCTACTTGAACATTTTGTTTTAGATATTGGCATGTACAGTTTAAGCTTGCTTGTGGAACAGATGAAGAGTTATTTGTCTTGGTTCATTCTATTTTATGCTATCTTCGAAGGAGTGTCCAATCATGGATCAGTTTACCTTGGAAAACTTGTCATTGAAATGCTTAGTGGATAAGTAAAATATTCTAGTTGTTGGCTTGTTGCCATAATACCATACATAGGATGAGGTACTTGGCTGGGTAAATAATTCTGCTAGGCCCTATATCTTCTTGTTTCTTATCCTGCAGATGGAATTTGTTATTCTCCGAGGAGTGCCTCCTTGTTTGGTTTCTTTGAACAGTTTTTTTGGCTTTGTTTCAGTATCAACTAATTAGAGTGCCTGCAAGGGCCTTGGAGAAACTGCAAATGGGCTAGAGATGTTTGAAGATGTTGGAATGGTTATTTTTCTGTGTTTCCCTGAATGATTTTGACCAATTTTCTGCTG